TTTTTCTGTGACACTTATGCAATAAAGCTTTATTTTTCTGTTAGGTAAAAATGGTTCCTTGTAGTATACTTTATTTAAATTTACTTCATTAGTATAACTTAATTTGGTTGCTTAAGTAAACCAAGAATCAGAGGTTTTAAGGAATTAATCTTGGGTTTAAAAGGGTCTATACCTAGATGGAAATGTGCTCAGCTAGAGAGGGAAGGCAGGAAGAAGAGAAACCCAACAAAACCACCTGTGTGTCTTTAGCAAGTTCCACATGGCACATGGCTGAAATCCTCACCTGTTGCTGAAAGAATAGGTAAGAGGAAGAAGTAATTCATTGGGTGGAACATGGACAGGATACGGTGGAAAACATGACAATGAGCGACTTTCAAAACCAACATAAATTAGTTTCACAGTTTCTTTATTTTATGTGTATGAGTGTATTGCCTGCAGGCATGCAAATGCACCCATGTCGTGCAATGCCTGAGGAAGTCAGATCCCCCTGAAACTGGAATTAAGGAAGGCTGTTAGCTGCTATGTGGGTCTTGGGATCCAAACTGCAGGTCCTCTGTAAGAGAAGCCAGTGCTGTTAACTGCTGAGCCAGCTCTCCAGCCCCAATTTCACAAAGTTTTGAGGGAAAGAAGCAACACGAAAAATCACAGCTATGTAGGATTACATACTCTCTGATCCCATTTACAAGAAGTACAAAACTGGGAAAAAAACTAGTGTATACAATTAAAAAGTCAGTGAGCTGGGCAGTGACAGGAGAAGGGAGGCCCTGGGTGCATTTTCTATATGGATAATGCCTCTGCTTAGTTCAAGTGCCTGCCTCATACATGGATCCACTCAATAACCAAAGTTATTGAGTTATACACAAGACATTTGCTTCTTTCTAAACATTCATTTATATCAATAGCTTTGAAATGGAAAGAAAAATCAGAAGAGGGGAAGAAGTTTTAAGTATTAAGTGAACTGTTCAATTGGAAACATACCATTAGATCTAGAAGAGTGGGGAATGTGCACTAAACTACAATTTTGTTTAATATTCTGATGTTCAGAAGAATTCATAATTCTTCAAAGTAATTTTTTCTTTCCAGTATTTATTTTGCTATAGGCTTATGATAATTTCCATAGCTGTGTCACCACTAACATATTTGGATGTGGACTGGGGTGTGGATCACAGGAGTTGGTAGTGCTGGACTTTCTCAGTGAGACTTTTGAGATGTTTGTGTCATTAGGGCAGAGATGAACATGCTATCTAGCTACAATTTGATAGAATTTATGCTGAAGAGTTCACAAATTTCAACTCAGACTTTTAATGCCTGATCATGCAGGCATGTACATATGTGGTATTTGCATAGTAGCCACATATTTATGGACTCTGAGAAAACCCTCCTGTTATTCAGCATCTTGCTTCAGTGAAAATTTAGTCTAGAGGTAAAAAAAACACAGTGACTTGAAATATTGCCTTAAAGCAGTGCCCAGTGTGCCTCATGAGAGACAGAGGCCATGAGTTTCCTATGCGGGGCTCGGGTCCACAACAGTGAATAAAGACTTGGAGAACTTCTAGGTGTTTTTGGTGTTTAAGCTGAATCTTGAAGAACAAATGAAAGTTAGGCAGGTATATAAGGAGGAGATGGTACTAAAGGGAAAGAAAAGCTTGAAGGAAGGCAAGAAGCATCTTGATGTGTTTGGACGACTGTCTGTAGGTATGCGGCTAAAACAAAAGACTGCATTGTGAAGTGGAAAGCAAGGCCAGGGCCAGCCTTTGAAGGCCTCAGCGTCCTGTCGAGAAGTAGGAACTCTTCTCACAATGTCACTGGCAGCTATTACACTGGCATGGGTGGTGTCTAGTTGGCTTTATCTGTGTGATGACCAAATCAGAGGAGAAGATGAATGTGAAAGAGAAATCAGTATGGGTATAATCCATGTGAACTCAGGTGTGGTCAGATTTTTTTTTTTTTTTTTTATAAAATTTTTAGGTTCACTATTTTTTTTTTTTTAGTTTTGTTTTTTTTTTTTTTTTAATTAGAAGAAGCATTTCATTACAACAGCATTGATCTATTCAATAACATTTTTCTGAGCTAGGGTACATCTCTTTCAAAATTGGCTGTACATATTTAGGTTTACAGATGAATTATTATGCTTATACAATCTTTTACTCATTATAAGCTCTATAAGACATAAAATTAAATGAGGTTCCAATGTTTAAAAAAGATCTCCACCTCGTTGTCAAAACACACAGTTTCATACAGAAAAATTCATTCCAGGGCTCTTGACATTGAGACGTTTTCACATGCATTTCTAATCTCTATATACATGACTATCACTGGTCACAGTCACCCACCTTCTGAGCTCCTCGGCATCTGAGCATGAATACAAACTCGTCAGGTAGACAGCCTTCCTCTCCCACTAGAGCCTCCATACTCTGCTATCCCTGCCACTGTTAATCTCTTCTTGGTTTAGTTGTAGTGGTTCCCATGCCTTTAGATATGCATCAATTTCTTTTAGGCTTTCAAATTTAGTAGCATATAGGTTTTTAAAGTATTCCCTTATAATGTTCTGTATCTTTCTGGTGTCTGTTGTGATGTTTCCCCTTTCATCTCTGATTTTGTTGATTTGGAGGTGCTCTTTCTTTCTTTTGGTTAACTG